AATTAATAATTTTTCAATATTTTAATAAATAATTGATTTTGATTTCATATCCTCTTTAGTAATATTTCTTTACATACAATACTTTATACATTTATATTTTCTCATTCATACGATGGAATTTGAACAATATGTTTAAATTTATGATATTTACTAACTGGTAGAATTTTCAAAATGTGTTTTTATTATATGTTTTAAAAAGTTGATATTTCAATATGAAATTTTATTGAAAACTAGCATTTTTTTAAATTTTAATAATTTAAAAATTAATAATATAAATGTTTAATAATTCAAAATTAATTTTAAATAATAAAAAATTAATAAATCATGCATCAATATTGATAAATAAAAATGTAACAAAAAATATTGATAGATTAGAAAAAGATGGGAGAAAAAATAGAGAGAGGAAGAAGTATAAATAAAAGAGAGATGAACAAAAAGAGAAATAAAATATGACATAGAAAAGACATTGGGAGAGAGAGAGAGAGAAGAAGAAAAAAAAGATAAGAAAGGGAAGAGTGAGAGAGAAAAGAAAAGATGAGACAAAGAGAGGGAGGAAAAAGAAAGAGGAGCAAAAAAGGTGAAGGAGAAAAAAAGAGAAAACAAAACTCATGTGAAATCTTAATAATTTTTATGAGATTGTTGGATGAGTAAATTATATATAAATTCTACTAAAAAATATTACAAAATCCATCAATTAAAATAATTCATTGAAATCTCCATGTTTTTACTTTCATGAGAATTTGACATTAGGAATGTTAATTTTTCACGTTTGATTTGTTATTTAAAAATAACATTCCTAGGAAACATTGTTTCTTGTAAATGATTTTTGCATAAGTTTTCCCCAAAAATATTTGTATGGGTGAGGTGGAAAACTAACTTTCATGAGATAAAAAAAAAATTATAATGTGATCAAAGTGTCATGTTACCTTTATTTTCTTATTTAATATAGTACAAATTCTTAATTCCTAGGTAATATTTAAATATATTCCTAGAAATACTTATGACCAACCAAACAATTTTTCATCATTCCTAAGAATTATAATTTCTAGGAATTATGATTTCTAAACACGAAAAAATTTGTTGTGTGCCAAATGTTGCCTTAAAGTTCTTTTTTTTTTGTCTATCCTCTCTAAAGATATATTATATGAGAATTAAAATTGGATGCTCTCTCACAAACTTAGCATGTATCGTTAACGAAGTCATACTCATTGAGTGAATAGATGTGTATGCACTTATATATTTATGGGTGAGCAAAATGAATTGAACTCAACTTGACTCAAAAGAAGTTAAACTGAACTGAACAACACATATTACTTTAGACAAACTAAACTGAAATATTCTTTCATTTCATTAAACTAAATTATATTATAAAGTTTGAATTTAATTAGAATTTGAACTGTACTAAACTATTATAGTATTTTGAATTAAACTAATTTGGTTTGTTGGTCCATCAAAACATGACAAATTTGCCATCCTTATTTTATCTAAATTTTTAAAGGAAAATATAAAAAAAATGTCAGGTCAAATAGACTCTGTAAGTAGTTCAAGCTCGAAAAATTAATGGTCCAACATAATTTGGTTGGGTTTAGTTAAATTAACACAATCGTTTTGGATCACTTTTATTGAAGTCTAAGTTGTTAGACTATTGATCTAGCTCATCAAAATGGATCAATTTAAACACATTTAACTTTTACTTTTTTATTTATTTATAAAAATAGTTTAGTTTTTATAAAGTCTTTAGTTTAGTTTTGAAATAATTTAGTTCAATTTTAAAATATTTAAATAATTTAATTCAATTTTTTCACAAACAGATTTTTTTGTGAAGTGTAGTTTATCATCAATCCAGTTCAGTTTTTTTTTACCCATGGTCTACATATATTAGTTTTTACTAGGGATGACAAACAAACCTGTACCCGTGGGTAATACCCGAACATGTCCCGACTTTGACAAGAAATACCCAGTTTAATCGGATACGGGTACGGGTACAGGTAAAATTCGATAAATTAAACCGGGTACGGGTATAGGTATATACATACCCGTCCCGTACCCGTACCTGTACCTGTACTTGATTTAATTATATTAAAAAAAATTAATATTTTATTATGTGTAATTATTTATTATAATGTGAAACATTTATAATTGTGTAATTATTAAGAAATCACTTTACCCGTACCCGATTTAATTACATTAAAAAATTTAATATTTTATTATATGTAATTATTTATTATAATATGAAAATTTATTATTGTGTAATTATTAAGAAATCTCTTAATTAAAATATGAGATAAAGAAATAATCTAATTATAATTATAATATAATAAAAAAAAATATTAAATGTATTTTTGCAAAAAAAAATAAAAAATTACAACAAGTACATGTATACCGGATACTCGACGGGAACGGGGATGAGGATGAAAATCACATACCCAATGAGTACAGATATAGGTACGGGGATGAATTTGTATCACGAAAACAAGAATGAATATCATAAAACCCGTACTTGACGCGCCCTGTTGCCATGCCTAGTTTTCACTTCAATAAAATATATGAAAGAAGAAAAGCATAGTCTCAATTTGGTTACTCCGTTTGCATGGTGACCTTGGGGCGAATCGAAAGAGTATCCCTAGTTGACACGACAACGAAGAACTACTCAATTTGGTCTTGGTATTCGTCTAGAATGAAGGAGTAGGGTACTCGAAGACTGTAAACATTTCGGTTTCGTTAACAGTGACAACTCACTACGCGTTGCCTTTGAATGGAATCACCCTTTTATTATCCGCTGAAACTTACGTACGTAGTTACGTATGTGATGATGTTTGCATGCTGATTCAATAATAGAACCAAAATGCTGATTATAGTTTTAATTAAATTATATTCTTGTTTCTTACTTAAAAAACATTTTTTTTTAATTTTAAAACATGTAATTTTAATCTAATCTAAGTATATTTTTAGTCTGTGAAATCTAAAATAAATTTATTTTTGTTTCTTAAATTTAAAATCAATTTTTTTAATTAAAAAATTTATTTTAATTTCTTGTGACACTAAGTAACATATATAATTAAAAATAAAAAATTAAAATAATTATGTTTTATCAGTCGTACGGGTTTTATAAGTTGTTTTTACCGATAAAGATAGTAATTGGTGAATTATGGGAGGAGTTTCTCCCCACTTTAGGTGATTTTTTTTTTGTAAGTGAGATTTTTTAATCCTCACTAACACCCTTTTCTTCTCTAACTACTGTCTTCGTCCCAACCTTTCTCTCCTTTTTGTAGCCATCGATCACTTTCATCTCGTCCTCTTTTTTAGCATTTTAGTTTCTCTATACTTGTCTATAACGCCATCTTTTTTGTCTATACCTCTTTTCCATCACAATTTTCTTTTCCAGCTGAACTTTTTATATTCACTTGTTGCAATTGGACCATAAACACTATAGTTATATTTAGCAACATTGCTCTACTCAGGTTTCTTGCCTTTCTATCTGCGGGCTTTAAATGTTATGCAATATAGCTTTACTATGATTCGTAGTTGGTCATTTTGGGTGTCTTTGTTTAAGTTGATTATACCGGAGATGCATGTGTTGATCCAAAAGGAATAAGAAGTGATAGAAAAAAAAAAGTGTGGAAAAACTCATGGCTTTATTAAGGTTTCATTGTAATGGGAAGATGCGTTGCAGTTTCAGGATTATTAATTTATCTAGTATTTAACATGCGTGCTTGATTTATTGTTATTTATATGATGTGCATTGTTATAGTACCTGATTTATTGTTGTTTATATGTTGTGAATGCTCTAAACATTCTTAAAGCATCTTGTGTTTTTGTAAGTGTTGTTAGAAATTTTCAACGAATAGTTCCTTGATCAAAAAGAAAAGAAAGAGGAAAAAAATGTCAAAATGGAAAAACCAAAGAAAGTGAGAGGCTGAAGTGAAAATAATTAAATAGTTTAAGGAGCAACATAACACCGTTTCTCTCTCTCACACACAAAATTTTAGGATTCTCGTCTATAAATAAATTTCAATTTGTAAAAAATAAAATTTGCATAAGTTTAGTATCCCTATTTTGTAAAAATTGCAATTTTGGTTTCATTCCTAAATGTCCACTCCTTGATCATTAAAATTATATTTTTAAAAATAACTCGATATTAAGTAAGATGATATGACCATAGATATTTAAGATATTTAAACTAAATTGTAGTTTTTTAAAATCTCGTTTTCATTTTTTTAATCATTTTTATTAGATAAAATTGGAAAATATGACAGTAATTTAATCTAAATATTATTAATTATTATAGCATCTATTTAGTATTAGATTATGATTATCATTGTAATATAATTTTAATAATAAAGAAATAAATATTTCATGATAGAACTAAAATCACAAATTTAATAAAATTACATAATAAAAAATTAAATATTAAAAAATACGATATTATAAAAGGATTAAGAGTGTAATATTTAATATATATGAATTCCTAAATCATTATTTTCAGAACAATAATTAATAAAATCATATATAATATATTAATCAGACGATAATGCATAGTTTCTTTGATATTTTTGATCAAAATTTATAATACTTTTTAATTATAGATTATAAAAATTTGAACTAGAAGGTTCGAAAGAAAGTAGTAATTTAAAATTAAGCATGCTGCTAATGTAGCCGCAAACGTGAAGTGAAGAGAGAAGTGAGATTATGGCATCCTAGCTACTCCAACCCACTTAGTTGCGTCGTTGACCACATTAATAAGCATATAATATGTTGGATGTTGTAACTAAATTCACGTGGATTAAAAAAAAGGAATGTGGTGGTCCAAGTTTGTTTCCTCTAGGGACTGTCCTCGACGCGTAGGACCATGATCCACGTGTACACTCGCATGCACTTTCCTTTCCACTCCTCTCTACGCACACGCGCCTTTGAAGTCTTACATCACCATGAGTCAAACACCTTCACTCGCTTCAGCGCACGTATATATAGAGCCGCAAACAAACACACCCCTCAGACAAACGCAGAACGCAGCCAAACACAACAAACGACGACACCGATTCGATTCTAAGACATAACACAAACATCGTAAAACGCTTTTGCTTTTGCTTTTGCTTTTGCCTTTGCCTTTGCCTTTGCCTTTGCTTTTGCTTATTTAAATGGTGAAGCCCACCGCGGAAAAACAAACGGCCGAGCAGAACGATACGACGTCGTACAGGGGAGTACGGAAGAGGAAGTGGGGAAAATACGTGTCGGAAATTAGGCTGCCCAACAGCCGTAAGAGGATTTGGTTGGGTTCCTACGACACCGCCGAGAAGGCGGCGCGTGCCTTCGACGCGGCCATGTTCTGCTTACGTGGCAGCGGCGCTAGGTTTAATTTCCCCTCCGACCCCCCCGACATCGCCGGCGGGAGGACCATGACGCCCTCCCAGATTCAGATCGCCGCCGCACGCTTCGCCAATTCGGAGCCCCGAAAGGAGTGTTCGGGTCGACCCGTGGAGTCCTTGACTTCGGATGAGGACAGTCAGGAAACGACGTCGTTGCCTTTGGACACCTCGTCTCCTCCTCTCTCCGACGTCACAGTCCAAAACGACACCGAATTACTACACGGGTATCTCCCGGATCCCTTTTCGGATCTCGGGTCGGATAATTTCCAACCCGATTTTTCCTTTTTCCCGGGCTTCGATGATTTTAGTAGCGATTTTCTTTTTCCGGAGATTCCGAGTTTCGATTACGGAGAGGAGAATTTGGAGGGGTTGATAATTCAGGACTCGTTTTTGTGGAATTTCTAAGCGGGTCGGGTTGTGGATAGTTTTATTATATCCGGAACCGTGACGGGAACCCGGGTTGGTCAATTTTTATGAGGCCAAGCCCGTTACTGAAGGAAATGATTTTTTAATCACCATGTAGTTAAGGTTTCAATTTTTTGGGATGAGGATCTTACATCATTTAATTGTCACCATTGATCAATCATTTAATAAATTGTAAAGTTGCATTCTGATAGTGTAATTTTTGTGGCCATTCATTGAATTATAAAAGGATAAGATGTTTTGTGGGTATCAATTACGTAGTACTTGGTTTGGCTTTGGCGCATTAAATTTTAGTTGTGTGTATCCATTAGTGTTGTTGAGACGGGACATGTGATGATCACAGATAATGAAAGAAAACTCAAATATTGTGTACTACTACTGTGTTTGGAAAATGATTAAATAAAAAAAGTATATATGCTCTTCCCACGCGCTATAAAGAATAAGGAATGCATTTTCCATACACGGTGGTGGCTTTTAGGAGCAATTTTATCACGTGTGCTTATCTTATATTCTTAAATTTGTGACCAATTACGTGTTACAAAGGCAATAAGTACGTGAGTGAAAATGTGAGGCTCCCTTATATCAGTTATATGTAATGTAACTCTACTTTTCACTTTTCTTTTGTTGAGGCCCACTTGTATGTCACTGTACTTGTATATTGATAGTTATTATGTAGGTGTGAATGAGAAGTGTTAGATATAAGTGAAAAAAGATTTATAATATATAATATTTTAAGGTTTAGGATTAATTATAATGTGAAGTTTACTCATGAAATTTGCTTATCACATATTAACAAAGTTCTTTCAATATTTAACATCTCTCATATTCATTTTAGAGTCTTGTTATTGTGTAAGTGTCATATTGTGACACCCTTACTATCCCAACATATATTGTAATAATGAAAACTTAATAATAATTTTTTTTTTCAATTTCGGTAAAAAGGGTTCACATGAGAATCTTCAAAATTATTCTTCAATAATAAAAATGAAACACAAGAATTTACAAATTGATGTTGTGTTGTTAAAATGTGTTGTTAAACAACATTGATGAGTTGTTATTTTGATGTACCATGTTGTTTAAGTTGAAAGTTGATTGAGATGATGAGTTGAAAGTTGTGTGTTGTTTAAGTTGTTATGTGTATTTTATACATTTAACAACTGATTAAAAATAAAAAAATCTTCTTAAACAACTTCCTCCTATAATTATTTATATTTTAATTCATCTATTGATCTCAAATTTAAATTTAAATATATATATTTTTACAACAATTATATAATTATTAAATATTTGAAAGAAAATATTATCGTTCATAATTGTTCTAATATGGAAATCGTCCCTAGAGAATCTTTAGCAAAACAATTACTAAGAAAATTTAGCAATTATCCTAACTTAGAACATTCAATAATTTTCAAATATGTCTCATACTCTAATCTCCTATCTCTATATATATCATTCCTAAACCATATGTAACGTAGTTAGTAGACTGGAACGGGACGTTCCCAGATTGGAACGGGTCGTTCCAAACTACTAAAACAAGGGTGATTTAGTAGCCCAAAACGGGTCGTTCACAAACTGGAACGGGTTGTTTCAAACTACTAAATAGGCCTATGAATCTTGGACTGGAACGGGTCGTTCCAAAATGGTCATTGTGAGTTAAATTCAACTCTAGAACGGGTCATTATGGTTTTAGAACGGGCCATTTTAGACGTGCTAGAACGGGCCGTTCTGATTTCAGAACGGGCCGTTCTGCATGTGAATTTTACACATGATGAAGAAGCCCAGAACGTGCCGTTCTGGATCTGGAACGGGCCATTCTGGCCAGTTCAGACTTCTATAAATAGAGGTTGCGCAGTTGAGGAGAATGAGAGGCTTTTAGAGAGAAGTTTTAGAGAGAAAAACTCTGGACTAGGAAGCTTGCTTTGGGTGGATTGAAGTTCCGAGTTGAGCTTCGGAAAGAAAATTCTACTTCTTCTCAGTTCTTGGCTATTTTGAGTCAATCTTCAGGTAAGGGAAGCTAGATTGTATGTTGTTTGGTTGTATGTGAGTTTAGGAACTCATATGGAGTTGTATAATTACATTGAGATGTATGATGAGTAGAAAGTGAAATGAAGAGATGCATGTTGAGTATAGTGTTGTAAACTAAATGAGTAGTTGTGCCAAATAGAAAATGTGTTGAATACATGATATGTTGCTAAAGTTGCTATATTTATGTGTGGATTATTTATATGTTGTAAAATATGATGAAATGATAATGTTGTGAGTTGTGAGAAGCATGATGTGAAATGTGTAGACGTGTTGAGATTTATACAAAATTTATTAGTAGACCATGTTGTTAAGTTGTTAGAGAAGAGTTGTATGTTGCTATAAAGTTGTATGTTGTGCCATGTGTTGAAAAGATATTATTTTATGATGATTGAGTTGTAAATTATGAGTTGAGCTAATAAGCTGTTGATTTGATTGTGTTATTTAAAGTTGAAATGAGATGTTGTGTTGTTAAAATGTGTTGTTAAACAACATTGATGAGTTGTTATTTTGATGTACCATGTTGTTTAAGTTGAAAGTTGATTGAGATGATGAGTTGAAAGTTGTGTGTTGTTTAAGTTGTTAGGCTGAGTTGTGTTGTTGAGTTGTAAGCTGATTCAGTTGTGATGATAAGTTGTTGATCACTAGGACTAGAGGAGATGTTTTCAAAGTTGCTCATCCCATTGTACGAATTGAGATAATTGGGGTGCTCTGCGAGCCCAATTTGTTAAAAACCCTCCTTAACGAATTGGGCCCAAGGCCCAGTGAAAATTGGGCTGTTACACATATCACCTTTAAGAGAAATGTTAACAAATGATGCATTACTCCTTTGGTTGATTTTATATAGAGATTAAGAAGTGAGAAGATAAGATGGAAGTGAGAGATATAAAAAGGTTATTTTATGCTGTTTGGTTAATGAGAATAGAGAAAGAGAAAATATTTGTATGGGACCCATATGTTAGGAAATGGAAATGGATATCAATTATATCAAGATCAATATTAACAAATAATAATTAAAATAAAAAAAAAATAAAAAAACAACATTTAAAATTTGGTTGAAGCACATGCATCTTTTAGAAAGAAGTAAATAAGAGTAGAAGAAAAATAATTAACTGAATAATATTTTTATTGAATGAAAAACAGGAAGAATTTACACAGTAAGGGATTTTTTGGTCGTTGCCAACTAACGACTTAGATTTAGCGAGGGAATGGTCCTATGCAAATCATTTGCTAATCCCTCACTATTATTTTTCACGAGGGATCATTCCTCCTCTAATTCACAATTTTCTTGTAGTATCCTCAATAATTGAGAACTTAGTCACTCATGACTAAGAATTACAACACTAGATGAATCTTTGAACAATCTGTGATTCATGTATTGATCTCACAAAAACCTCTTTAATCTCTCTATAATTGTACAAAAGAAAATGTATAATATGAACTAATAAAGAGACCCCTAGAAACCATAATTTTATAATAACTTCTTATGGACTTTTGGGTTGAGTCCAATTACTTAGAGCATCTATGTTGCTATCTCTGAGTGATCAAGTGAATATGTCCAGGTGTGTCCCCTGTCTTTACTCGCTCAAAGAGAATTTGTGGTAGCTCTAAGGGAGTTCTTCTCGCTTAAAGAGCCTAAGATGCTCGTTTTAAGTGACCATGTGTTTAAGGCTGCTCTCTGCCTTGACTCTTTCAAAGCAAATTTCTAGTAGCTTTGAGCAATTTTCCATAGCCTAGAGTAATAATTCTAATTGAGACTTTGTAACTTTTCAAATTATCTTCTTCTTGTGATATTTCAACAAAGAAAAACATAAAAATACCTAATATTTAAATAATTAAACAAAATTTGAATTTACCTTTTGATTGAGTGTCTGTGGCCAAAATAAGATTTAAAAGCATAATATAGATCTATAATTGCCTAAATTGAATAAAATATCAATGTATATTTGGCAATTATCAATAACTTAAGGAAGCTTTTAGTACACAAAATTTTTTTACTTTCCCGAAAATCTGATATTGAGAATGTTTTTTTTTTTGAACATTTGGTTTGTTATTTAAAAAATAACATTCATAAAAAATATTGGTTTGTTATTTAAAAAATAATATTCATAGGAAACATTGTTTTCTAGGTATGGTTTTTGTGTAGGTTTTCCATAAAATTATTTTCATGGAGAGGTGAAAAACTAACTTTTTCTGAGATAAATTCTTTTTATTGTAGTAAAAATATCATGTGACATTTATTTGCTTATTTAATATAGAAAAATCATTCACAAGCATTTATAAACATTTATGATTAATCAAACAAATTTTCAGGGAATCATGATTCTCAGGATTTATGATTCTCATAAATCATCATTTTCAAACATAAAAAAAACTTGTCATATACCAAATATTCCTTAAAAGAAAAATGTAATGTATGGGCCAACGTTTGTCTTTAAAAAAATGAGTTCATAGCCATTTATTGTCGATGCAAAATTTATCACCCTATCAATTAATAAAGAATTATTTTTGGTATAACTTTTAAAATAATTATTATAAAAGTCAACAAAAGTACCATAAAACATATTATATATAAAATTCTTATTTTTTTTCTCTTAATATGTCCATATGATTAAAAAACTAAAATATATAAGATAAAAAGCGATTAACATTTTTTAAGTTTAGTCTAAGAATGACATCAACATAAAACAATTCTATATTTTATAATAGAGATTATTATGCATGTGAGAAACATGCAATTATCACAATACAATATCATATATTATTAACCAACAAAAATCTTAACTAGAAGAAGTTTTGATTTATTGAGGTTCTTAAATTTCAGAAATTGTCTCGGAATTAAGCCATTCTATTTCACAAATTTGTGTCATCCTACACCAATAGAAAATTGAGCTGTTTAGCAATTTATCTTCAATACTTAGCATTCATAGCTGACACCACTATCATCAATTAAGATCATTTGCTTAGAGTTAAATACATATATATATATATATATAGAGAGAGGAAGGTTCAAACGACACCGGTGTAACTTTAACTAAGTATTACACCGCTCAATAACTTTATATTAAATGTAAATTTTGTAAATCCAACCGTTAGATTGAAAGTTCATATCTCTTAGATCATATATATCAAATTTTATATTAATCTAAGATGATTTGATACTTCATTCTCATAAAACAAAATTGACGTAATATATACATTTCAAAATATACTAAAATATGAACACTTTGATTACCTTCAAGTTGTTCATCAATTTTAACAAAATTTGACATATATGATCTAAGAGATATGAACTTTC